CCCCAAAACCCCAAAACCCCAAAACCCCAAAACCCCTTTATATTTTAAATTTTTTGAAAATTAACATAAATAGAGGGAACAAATGTTATCATTCGACATACTCATATACCAAGCCATGATACTTATTCCAGAGAAAGAGGCCAAAAAGAGATTTTACGTTGAGGTTCAGAGCGATGAAAAGATATTCCGAACTGATGAGAAACAAGGAAACAACCCAAATTGGAACCATAAGGACAACATCACATCTAAAAGTGGCGTTCTTTCCTTCACTCTTTTCCAAAAATCAGGATTTCTAGGGTAAGTTTTGTCTAAAAGTGTATAAATCGGCTCTAAATCTGCCAAAAGAAGGAATTTTAGTTTTCTCATTTGACCTGAAGTGTTATTTGATACTAATATCTTGACTATAGGAAAGATACGAGCATTGGAAGTTTCACAGTAAACGTTAGCTCAGTCAATCACTTCAAAATCAGGAAGAACATGGACCTAGAGAATACTAGAAAAGAGAAAGTTGGAACCTTAGAAGTGAATATCAAAATGAAGACCAAAGCTATCACTAGAGGGAACAAGAGAGAGCAAGGCAATAAATATGAAATCCAAACTGAAGGCTCTGACTCAATTTCTCTTGAGGAAGAAGAATACGAAGAAGAGGATCTCGAGGAAGAGCCAGAAATAGACCAATACAACCAAGCCCATTATGAGGAAGAAAACATGAAGAGAATGCATCAGAACGAAGGCAGTAATTTTGAAGAGCAAGAGGCTAACTTTATGCCGAATGTACCAGGTGAGCATGCACCTTATGACCAAAGAGATTATATTCATGGAAGAGAACAACAGTATGAAGAATTTGCGGAAGGTGATATGGAATCTGATGAAGATCCAATCCCAGATGATGAGGATAAAGGAGACTTTGATAGACCCTCTAGTAGAAATCCAGAGTACATGTCAGACATTAATTCAAAGAAACGATCCAGAAACCAAGTAATCCCTAAAAACAACTTCAGATCGACTAGTGACAAAGATAAACGGTTGAATATTCATAAGAAAGCATTTAAAAGTAGAAAGACCAGCAACAAGCATTTTATGAAGGACTCAATGACACCCATCAACTTTGGATCTAAGTCAAGAGCTTCTAGGAACAATGTTCATAACATGTCTCACGCTCTGACTCAGTATTCACCAAGCAGCTTTAAAGAACAAAGACTGCTAGAAAAGAGAGCGATGTCGAAAGGAAGAAAGAAGTATAAAAGTAAAGGAAGAATTCTCCCCTCCAAGAGCTATGGCCATGGCATTAGGATGCATTCTAGATTCCCATATGGGTACTCCAAACGCCCTGAGAGGAACAATGTGGGTATGTACACTCCTTTGGTTGGTAACTACATCGAACCACGATTTTCGACCTTTGACAATGATTTTGGGGAGGAATCTGAACAAGATTCCCAGAATTTAGCTGAAGAAATGTACACCCAACAATACATTGAGTATGAAAATGAGCAGAGAATCCATGAACTCATTTCTTACTGTCAAAGCGAGAAGGAAAAACTGATGAAAAAGTATAAAGAATTCACCCAGAAACAGAATAAAGCTATCCAGATGTTCAAACAAGTCACTAAAGAAAGAGAAGTTGTTGAAAAGGAGAGACTCAAGATTCAAATTATTAAGAAAGAAATTTCGCATCAAATCCGAGTCCTCAAAAAGAAAATTGATCATGCTAATAAGTTAGGTCTCAACAATAACAGTGCATTTCTGAAAAATATAGAAGCTGCTAGGCACGAAGGCCAAGATAGTGATTTTGCTAACGACAATCTTACAACTGAGCATGCATATACTGATATGGGAGATGGATCTCCTCTCCCTTCAATGAACAGACAAGGGATACGTAATAATGAGTTTCATCAAAATATGAGTGAACTCTATGATCAAAATATTCAAAAGAAGTTCACTGAAGGCTACGATGTCCCTATGGGCGAAGATTACGATGAAGGCAATTATAGAAATGAAGGAATGAGACATCACCATCCTGAGTATAACGAAAGTGCACCTAATCCTTATCAAGATAACTATAACCAGGAAGAAGAATTCCCACCGAAAAATAGTAGCCGGAATTTGACAAAAGAGTTCAACCAAGAAGTTGATGAAAATTCACATAACTATAATGAAAACCTCAATAGGAGTTATGAATCTGAGCAATATCCATCCCATGCACAGACTCAACAAATTTCTACAAACTCGAAAGGAAAGATGACGAATAGCCAGAATGATTTCAAACAAAATCTGCCTAGAAATGAGCGACAAAATTATAATGACCCTTCCATGAGATATCCTGAGGAGAGAAAATCAAGATTCAACGATCCTCCTGGAGATCAGAACCCTTATCTCTATGAAATGCAGAGAAGCCAAGAAAGACAACATAATTTCAACAACCAAAATTTTGGCAACAATGCTTACGACATGCCTCAATATCCTCAAAATAAGTCTCCCATAATGTATATGCAGAAAAATATGCAGATGCAGCCCCAGTATATTCAACAAGAAATGAGTGAAAATATGGGATATAATGGAGGATACCAACAAGTTTCCTTTATGGGAGGCCCATATGGAGAAATGTCCTTCCACAAAGACTTTCCAAACCCAAATAACCTCATGTCCGGATCTTCAACAGATAGGGTACAAAATAAAGGAAATGTACAGGGTCTCCATAACTATATATCAGGAGGTGGGAACCCTATTAGTACAAATGGGCAAAACTCTGCTTATAGCTCAGTTCCTGGAGGACAAGATGGATCTGGTCTATCTCCTCATCCTATGCAGAACAAAGAATATTCAGGAAATCCTCCGACATTTCATCCTTTCCACCAATTAGCCAACAGCTCTCAGCTAAACAGTCAAAATAGCAGTTACGCGCCTACACAAATCACTCCAAAGCAAGGAATTTCAAAATTCAATAATTTTGATAACACCCACAGCCAGATGGTTATGAACAGTTCGAACGGAGTCCCCTATGAAAAATATAGAGAATTTGAAAATCAGAATTCCTTCTCAACCAGGGACAGACCTCCAGCAGGTTATGGGGACCTTCGCGAGTCAGTCAACGAGAACAGTAATATGGACCAGAGGTACGACCCCTTCATAACCTTATAGATTAATGCCAAACCAAATCTCTGTGATCACTGGCACCCAAGATTCCAGAGGATTCAACTCTATCAGAGAGCAAAACGAGCAAGAAGAGTTTGAGAGAATGCCCCAGTCTTCCAAAGAGATGGAGAAAGAAGACTTAATTCAAAAGATCCAGGAATATCAACGGAAATTAGAGGAGTTGAGTAATAAGCCTGAAGAAAAGCATCCTGAAAACACTCAAAATTCAGAGATCAAGATCTTGCAACAAGAGGAGGAGAATAAGCTTAGCATAAAAACCGACCTTGAAAGATACATCACTCATAACAAGATCTCCCAAGAATCGACCAAGAGAAAGGAAGATGAAGAAGAAATCAGGGATCTCAGGAAGATGGAGAACCTACAGATACAGCAAACGCCTGAAAGAAGAATGCCACAAGACAACACAGGCAAGAAGCAAGGTTTACCTACTGTTCCAACTCATATTACTGGCAGTATGAAAAAGATTAGGAATTCTCCTCCATTAGCAGATAATGAGCGGATGGAGTACATTCAACAAAAAGAGCATGAGGATAGCCCAAACTCCATTATTCCAAACCATTATAATGAAGGACATGAAAACACTGCTTGCAGAGTTGGACAGCCAATGACTGAAAATCCTAATGTAGAAGTAGACATCCAGGATCCCTATCAAGAAGAGGAGGATAACGATATGGAGTTCAAGCCAGACCCAGACCTCCTTTCCAGGCTCAATAAAAATATGGAAAACAATGATAGAAGAGTTGTAGCTCCTGAGAAATCCAATCTCACTGAAGAACAGAAGAAAAAGATAGAAGAACGAGAAAAGTTTGAAAAGGAGAGAGCAAAAGAAAGAGCTCTCATTTTCGAACTTATGAACAACAACGTTGATGCAGGCTTCTGGGGAGGTTATTCTGAGAATGAAGACCAAGTAGAAGAGTCAGAAGATCATGAAGAGAATATTAGTATCAACTCTGTTACCAGTAAGTTTTATATAAACAATTATAGAAGAATATCAAAATACGAGAAAAGAGGAAGAAATCAAAGAAGAAGAACACCCTCAACTAATTGCCAAAGACTTAAATACTGAAAACTACGATCATGATGGCAAACTACACCACTCAAGTATCAACGGATACGGTAGCCAAGTCCAAGGGAACAACTACGAACTAGAGGATCTTGAATTTGTCGACGACCCTCTCATCCGTAAGAAAAGAGTAAACGAGGTAATCAACAGGGTTCAACTAAACCTAATCCAAGACGATGAAGCAAGCGTCCAGTCAGAATCATGCCACGCTTCAAACCAAAACACAATCGACGACACCAGAAAGTACATCCTAAAACAACAACTCAAAAAAGAAATTTCCAAAAGAGTAAATCACTCCTAATTCTCCTAAAAATCCTCTCAAAATTTATCAAAAATTTTAATTTCTCCCAAAATCAGGATTTTTCAAAATTTGTTCAAAATTTAGTCTAAAATTTGGGGTTTTGGGGTTTTGGGGTTTTGGGG